TCAATGACCTGATTCACCTATTTATCTACCTACCAATAAAAAATTCAATATACAAAGTATAACATGGGTCTATGGGCCTTTGCATGAGATCATAGCCATAGGATACATGTGTAATTTACATGTTCATGCGTATGAGTACAGATCACATTTAATATTTTACATATTTTTTAAGAATACATATTTCCAAATTATCATTCACAGCCATTTTCTCTGTGTGTGAAGGACATTAATAAAATGGTAGGCTTTTTATTTCTTTGTTTGAACGAACATTCAGTTACAAATCTGGTTTATTTGTTCATAGTCACTGACATTTCCATGGTCTTTTATTAAAGACCTGATTAACCTGCAGAAAGAGCACAATGTTTGTACAAAGCTTATGAGCTCTAAGCCCATTTCACACCCACATATTGCCTTCTGTTAAGGGAACATTGGTAATGTCAGCATTCCGTATTGTATAACAACACCTTCAGAGAACTGGCCCCATCTGTAAACATTATGTACTCCACAAAGTCAAGAAAACTGGATATGACTAAAATCAGAGTGCTCCCATGAGTCTTCACTCTGCAAAAGTATCACTGGGATGTTCTGGGTATGCATGGTACTCGTCAACATACCAGGGCTCGGTTTTAAGAACATGGGCTCTCCCAACCAACTGGTGACCCTAGGTATCCTGATACATTACTGGCCTCTGCCAAAGGGACAAGTTAATGGCCATTTTCATAATAAGACCGAGTTGTTACTCCCTTTCATCTCCATGTAACCATCACAAATTATGATATAAATGAAAAGAAGAGCAGCAACCTCTGCTCCAGTAAAAGCCAGAAGTGGGCCAGCAAAGATTTCTTAACTGAAAGTAAACTATGATAATACCTAGACTTTAAATGCTGATAACATATCATAAGCACAACCCAGAAAACACGGCCATACCCCAATGTATCGCAAAATTATTTCAGATATGACATAGCAAAGGCCTCGGGAAATAAACAAAGCAGATCAAATGGGGTAGGTAAAGAAACAGGAATATATAGGATATTCAAGCAGATACACCAGCAGATCTAGACTGATGAATCTCTTTCTGCATGACACCCTCCCAGTGTTTTATGTGATCAAACCAGCAATAATGCTCACAGCAAAAGTGTTTTTAAAATTTTTGTACTAAGAATGTTATGTTTGTCAAGGTGATACACTGTCTGCTCCTTGATGCATGTGTGTGATGTTAACAGTAGGCAGAAGGGAGAACTTTGAAACCTACATTTTTACATTGTTTCTTGAGGATTTTGATTTTTCTTAAGTATTCAGGGTGTGTACAATCAGCTCCCAGTAAAGCTCATGTTTGTAAATGTACATAATGTTGGCCTTAACTTTATACATCTGCACACATCTCCAATACATCATTTTAATTTCACATGATTAAATATGCCCATAGGTAGTCAAGTATTCAGAGTAGGTTTGGACTTGTATGTATGCACTGAACTAAGGGCTTGACACTAGGCTCTATGGGCATTTTTTTACATGCTCTGGGAGGTGTTGAGGGGGGCTTTAATTAGTGAGCTACACTAATTAAAAGCATCTGAGCATCATGTACAACAGCATCCCTCATGCTAAAAAATGGTGACGGGGCCCTTTGAACTAAAGGTCATCGAATGAGCTTTAGTTCAAACCTCCCCACTGCCATTTTTCAGTGTGGGGATGCTGATACACGATGCTAGAGTCTGCAGGAGTGCATTAATTTCCATGCTCCAGCTGACACATTGGAATTCCAGCACGTTGGCACTGACTCCCTGCACATGTATAGGAGCCCTGTATGTGCACACCTTTGTATAAGGAGGGAACTATGCTGCTGATTTATAGTACTGAAATACAACAGACAGAAGTAAGTAGATAAAAAGGCTGTCATGTAACATTTCAATATAGGAAGATGTTGCTTAATAAAATTATATTTTCAAATATTATAAAAGAAAATCTCTTCCATGATGGGAATTACAAATGTTTTGCATTTGGTTATAACATTCATACATTTCCATTCCCTTTCCTGCCACACTGGGAATTCATATTTTGGCTAGATCTCAAGTTTGCCATTACTCAAGTACATTTCTTTTCCATTGGGGCTCTGCCTCTTTCAGTAAGACTGAAAGTTCCATTAAAGGACATATTTATGCAGCATGGTAAAGGTGCTACATGGTAGAAACTCACTGCAGAGAATGTGACTGGTCTACTCTCATGATTTCCATGTAACATATGAAATATTTCCATATTTCCAGTTAATACACTAATTTCCTTCATAATTGGCTATTCTTCTGTAATTCAGTTAGTGCCTCTGTTCAGTCCTCCTTCTGACATGGCTACATACGCATAGAACACAAAGAGACAGTGGTATCCAAGGGACAATATGAAAATGTTCCAACCATGAAGCTTATACATAAAGAAAATATCAGGACAGAAAGAAAAGAGCCATCTTCAAGGGTCACTGAGCTAGCAGCCTCCATTATCATCCAATTGTTTAAGGACTGGTGAGTGCCAGAGGACTTACAGGCAACATTTTAAAGCTTTTTCAGTGCCCAACACCCAATCAGTTAGGCACCTAAATACCTGCAAAAATATTGGTCGTGAATTTTTACCAGCATACAGTACCACAGAAGTCCAAGACAAAAAAATATATAGATTCCTTAAGCATGTCCTTCTATAAATGCAGGATAGATCAGATATTAAACTGATGTTAAACTTAATCTTAACCAAAAGGGCACTTGCCTGTATTTTGTTCTGAATACGATCTACTACATATTTACACTCATAGCCCATACAATGACCTTTTTAAAATTCATTGTTAACATTCTGTTCTTATGCAAGCAGGAGGAAAGTTGCACCCAAATTCAGTCTTCCAGGAAGAGCTCCAGTACTGCAAACTAGGAAGGAAGCAACTTGATTAGCACACAGATACCTTTAGCCAAAATTGTTCTCCATGGTAAAATAGATGGTTTGTTGTACTTTAATCAAAGACATACTTTATAAGAAGAAGCTGTTCTTCTCCAAGATGTTTATCTTTAGGTGCAAGTTTGGTATGTGGTATCTATTCACAACATGATGTAGTATGGTGCTATTCCTTTCTGGATAACAAGTGAGAGAGTTGTTTTGAACTGGACTGTCTCCCCATGCAGGTACTATTAAAACCAGTATCCACATTGCTGAGTCTGCCATTTCTTGCTACACAGTATAGGATGTTTAGCTATGGGAGCCACTAAGCAAATAACTTCTGAGTCTGAGATGCGCATGCCTCAAATCAGTCATCTGCATGCTACTTCTCTTTCTTCAGGATATGCTTCTAAAATGCCCAGGAACCACATGCAACAAACCATGGTTGGCTACCTCTGCATTATAGTCATAGCAGAGCTACAGTCATTCATTTCTATAGTGGGACAAGCCAAGACAACTCAAAACAGTACAGATAAGCAGGGCACTACCTTAAAAAAAATTTTCTGGTCCCAAAAGATTTTAAATTATCACAGACAAAATCCCCTAAAAACTACAGCAAAGGACATGGATTGATTCAATATGCTTTGCTGGTGCAGGAGAATGGATGTTATAATACAAAGATGTTCCTTCACCTCTAAATTCCATCACTCGCAGCAACAAACTTGCTGCTAGTTCTACTGCTCACCCATGAAAGTAGCCACTCTGACCAAAGTAAACTTTCCCTGATCTTTCCAGTCTCACTATATCAATGCCAATGTGTTACTAAAATGCATAATCCTACTTCACAGTTTAATATTTGCACCAAATTCAACTGATTTTGTTTTGTGCTTTAATTAAATATGATAGATCACAGTGAAATAATGATAAAATCCCAGTCATACTGACTCAAAGATCCAATACTTCAGTCAAGGTGAAGGCTGGAGAAAGAAATATCAAAGTAGTAAAACAATCTCCTCCTGCCCATCCTCCACACCAGCAAAGGAATTTTTATATTAATTGGCAGCAAGTCCATGTCTAGTCTGACTGCTGACACAGTTAGCCATAATAATAAAAAACATTTTTGCAGGAAGTGGAAATGCCATTTGAATTTTAATAACTGCCTTTACTTTCTGTCCTGATTGATTAGTCTGAACAAGATTCAAAGCAGCGAATGTCCCTCTCTCAACTACTTACATCTCAGGAAAAATCACAGGAACTGAACAACTGAAAAGCCATTCATATGCCGATAGTCCCAAAGAGGAGATAATTTTGGAAAAAACTTAATGTTGAATTAATGGAAAATCATTATAGAACCTGTTTTAAATAATGAACTATGTAATAAGTACTTTTCCATTTTATAGCACCTTCCTTTGATGTACTGCGAAACATTTTGCAAGTATTGTGTGAAAAATGCCTCAGAATGCTCCTGTGAGGCACAATAAGTGTTGTAATATTCTCCTTTTGTAGGTGGAGAAACCAAGACAGAGAAGTTAATGCATCCAGTCACAAAAAAATCTGAAGTATGCAGAAGTACAAAACTCTACTTTTTTGGTTCAAATTCCCTCAAATTTTAGCCCATGTTTGCCAAATAGCTTACAAACCAATATTAGTAAAACAACACTGATATGAGTTCCTGTTTGCTCCCTGCCCCCCACACACATATACTTTTTTTTTTTTTTTTTTTTTTAACATACTCTGCATTTTCAAAGCAGTTGAGAAGTTTGGGACACATCATCCATTATTAAAAGTGGTGCTGTAAATCCCTTAGTCCGTACTGAAAATGTTAATCTTAGTTTTATCTCCATAGTGGATATATCTACATGTGCAATCAATGTAATGCAATAAACTCTGGAGCTATCTGAGCCAAAGGAAACTGCTCCTGGGTCCAGCGTCTACACGTACACCCAAGGCAGCTGCAATTTGAGCCAGGGCAGAGCAGGCCCCTGGCTGGGTGCACTGACTGGGCACAATTTATGCGCATGGTCAGTGTCCATATGTATGCTTCAGTGCAGTAAATTACTGCAGAGTTAATTAATTTACTGTGTCCTAATACCAACGCACATGTAGTAGCGACACTTTTTTACTGAAGATCTAATTATTCTACTCCACGCTAAAGCACATGTGTAGATGCACCCAATGTGAACTATGAAATGTCTACCCTTTTCTGACTTTCTGAAGAGTTAATTTTTGTTTCAAGCATATGTTAAAGGCCCCTTATGTCAATTTGAGTTCTTATCAATGCAGAAAAAAATACTTGATTAATGTCACCATCCTTTATTCTCCGTACTACATGAAATCACCTGAATAACTGTTACCAAACATGCATCTTATTAAACAACATTCACAGCCTCATGGGCAAAAAAAAAAAAAAAAAAATCAGTGCTCTGTTATTAATAAAATTATATTTTCAAGAAGAACTTCTTTCTGTAGAGGAAATAAGCGACAAAGACCCAAAGAGATGTGCCCAGCAGATCCTGGAAGAGAAGTTCAGCGTGCGAGTCTTCATTTCCCAGTTGAAAGGGAAGTAGCTGCCCAGGATTGAGTGCCCAACATAGACAAAGAATGAATTCATCCCTGCATAAAGTCATGAATAGAAAACATGTCACTTTCTCCAACAACGAGCCTACGTTAAACATTGCGTATAACAAATAATGAACATATACAAATGTCATGGGCCTAAATTCTAAAAAGAAAGATTATAAAGATAAAGGTTCAGAAAGGAAACTGACTGTACCCTTGTTAGAAGCTGCAGGGTATGAAGCAAGACAGTAGGATGGTGGACAAATGGGGTAGTAGAAGAGAAGTAGTCCAGAAACTGAAGGACAATGAGAATAATTGAATGAGATCATTTTCCTTGCCTGGATCATCATCCTGAATATCAGAAATTCAATAACTTTCCTGGGATCAGATGATAATAGCAGTAGGCTGTACACTCAAACACTTGAATTATGACCTACTATAGACAGAGCTCATTTGGCATTGCAACTTCATAAATTACAAACCAGTATCCCTGCACAAACACATAATTAGGTAAAGTTTTTCCAAATGGCTCCAGACTTAAGATTAAACAAAATGTCAAATGATTTATCCCTGACTTCCACTGGATATGGTCACTCCATTTCCAAAGTGGTATCAGTCACTTATTTTAATAAGCACTAAATATATCATAGAAGAGTCTTCCTGTTAATTTGGAACTGATCTTGTGACATTTTAAACAAGGCACAGAGATTTCATTCACCAACTGGACTGAGTATGAACTCAGATTCCTTACTACTGATATCCACTCCTCTTCATATTTCTTCTGTCATAATTCAGTTAGTTCAAATTCCTACCTGGATATATGAAGGGCTGTCCACCCCACCAGTGTTTTACATCAATAACATAGAACATAAGTCCTAAAAGTATGAAGGAGAAACAGCTTAGTGTAGTAACAAAGGACAGAGACCTGGAAAACAAAAGAAACATCTGGTTGGAATTTTACAAAGTCAGTAAGACACTAAATATTTAGAATTCATATTACAACACTCTTTTTCCTGTAGACTAAAAAGGAATTACTATGAACACAGTAACAATATCTAACTTCATTATTAATACACGATTTAACAACTATGGGATCAAATCAAAACACTAATGGTTGGATTTTCAGCTGGTGTAAATCACTGTACTTCCATTCAAGAAAATAGACCTCCACTTAATTACAATAGTTGAAGTCATGTCCAAGAGCTGAAAGCTTCAGAACTTTAGGGAGAATTCAGATTAAGATCAAGCCCAGAGCTAGTTTTTAAACTGTTCTGTCAGAAAGAGCTAGTAGGTTCTGCCCTATGTATTAAAGCAGACCTGAGTTCCAAAAGTTAGGTATCCAAGTCAAATGGCTTGATTTTGGCTTGAATGACCACCTGTATCCGCCACTGAAAGCAACAGAAGTGCAGGCTCAGCTACTACAAGGGGCAGGGATAGCACAAGCTGTTCAATACAGTTGGCCAGAAGCAGGAAATATTGGAAGTCTCACAAAATTCTTCTCCCAGGGTTTTTAGTCTGTGTTTGCAAAACAGAGAGGCTTGCTTCTCTTAACATCATTGAAAGATTCCAACTCATCCTTTGAGTGACTATCCTAATTTTATGAAACATTTGAATTTTGACAATTCCTTAGTTTTATAAGCCAAAAAAGTGGGAGGTCAGAAGGGGAGAGAGAGAATCGGGACTGGGGGAGAGGAAGGATTTCTGTGAATTAAATGCTCTCAAATCCCTAAGTGTAGCAATGATAGGAAGAAAAGCTCTAACAACTTGATATTTATTTCAATGCCACACCAAAAACAATACTTTAATTTGATAAGCATTACTGTGCCAGACAAAATCATTTTTCAGACAACATCCCTAGAAATCTTAAGTAGCAATTTTGGGCTTCTGTCATAATTCCTAGCAATATTTATGGCATTATTCATTTAGGTCAGGAACCATTAAATGGCAGAACTTCACAAGATAAAGTCTGCCTCCTACATCTTGCAAGATACATCAGAACAGCAACCCATTTCATAGATCTTACAAAGTCCTCAGTCAGAAGCTCTCTCTAACCATTTTATGTCTTACCATCTCTGATAGGGTTGAGCAAGGGGTCCATTTAGATTTTTGGCTGAGATGCTGTGCTTCATACAATAACCCAGATTTTCAAAACGGGTAACCTCCCAGGTAAGCATCAATTGTAAGTGGTCAGACATTCAAAGGAGCACTATGGATACTGAAACTTAAGAGCAGGAGCACACAAACAAATGTACTTCCAAAGAGAGGATGATGGAGACTTACTTCAAATACAAAGGAAAACCCAACCTTCCTTGACTGCACAGTTGTTTGTGTGCCCATGCCTCAAGAATCACAATGGGAACTCTTGGGTGCTGAGCTTAGCTGCTATATTTTAAAAAAAGCTTCCAAACATGCATGCCAATACTTTGAAAAGCTAGTGGGGCCTCTTCTAGAAATCTGACTCAGTATTTCCACAGTTTGGTATGCTAGAGGTCATACGTTGGTCAAATCAAAACCCAATTTTATATTAAAAAAATCAAAACACTTGTCACTAATGAGAGCTATTTCCATGTTAAATATACAAGTTTCTGACAGAAACAAAAAAGTTTGTAAATATTTTATATTCTTATTCTTTTACAAGAAGAGTTCATGTATTTTACATCTATTGTACTTTACGTTATAAATGACCATACTGTTTTTGACAAAATTTTCCAAAGACAATCATTTTTGTTCAAAAACCAAGCCTGGAAAACTTCAGTAAAAATTTTAGAAAGTTACAGTTGACTAACAAGGACATAATAGAAATTAAATGTTGTACAACTTTAAGTATAGTATGTGCAACTGTTTGTGCTGTAATGAAGTGCCATTTTCTTATGATGGTCAATAATAAATCTTGCCAACAATCTGGAAAGTGTGTTTCTCTATTGGGATCTAAGCTACTTTGGGAACTGTAAGCCAGGAAGATGGATACTCTCTAAACTATAAATCCTATACTCTAAACTATTGTTGGATGTCATTTCTTATGTTCATGGTGTTTGATTTATGCAAATAATTCTCTCTCTCTTTTTCACAGCTTTTGTAATTATTCACAAGGAACTGTAATAATCATTTGATCAAAGCACCAGGATTACCCGGTGAAATCTACAAGAATTTGTACTCTTATTGGCACAAATTCAATAAGAGTCTTTGTCCAATTCTGACAATGAAACTGAAAAAAAAGTCTCCATCGCTGCTTTTACTCGCATGCTGTATGGTGACAGAAGACTTAGGAAAATGGGAGGATTCTAGTTATAGAGAAATTAGAAAGGACCCCATTTGTAAAAAAATTTAAAGACAATTCTTGTTTCTAATGAGTGAATATTGGCTAGTTGCATTTATTTAAAAATAAAAAATAAATTAGTTTGAATAGGTATCACTCATATATGTGTGCATATTAGACTACAGCATGTATGTATTAGAGGTAGGGAAATCTCAAAAGTTTGGATACATTTTGGGATCATACACATATGTACTGATTAGGCTAAATTATGTCCCCAGAATAGATGGGATTTCTCATGAGTTGCCCAGGTGTGCTTCCTTTCAGTGAGGCTAGAATTTGCAAAGAAACAAGTTTCCTTCATATGTAGAACTTACTCTTCTGGGCCTGCTCAGAACTTGAAAGAGTTTGTAAGTCAGGTTTTCTACCCCATTCTATTTCCACTGCTTCAGTGGCACGAGGGAGATGGAAAGTTGAATAAATAGCCAACCTTCCAACAAGTGCATATGTATCTCTAGATAGATACATACATAGCATTCTTTACACCATTCTGCCCATTTCCATGGAGACCCCCATTAACATACCTCAAATTGAAGAATGTTAAAAATAGCTGTCAAATATATATATATATATTTCAATTTGAGATATATATATATTTGACAGCTATTTTTAACATTCTTCAGTTTGAGATATGTTAACGGGGTCTCCATGGAAATGGGCAGAATGGTGTAAAGTACATTGTTTTACACAGTTATCACTGCCACATGTATTTATGGGGTATGTATATGGATAAGTAGAGGTAATTAGTATTGATAATATATACAGTGCCATCAGGGGTCTTAAAAGTTGAGTACAAAAAAACAGAAAAAAAGGAAAGACCTACTCAGAAAGATTAATCCAAAATCAATTTAAATCATTTGGTATCAGTTTGGATAATATAGACCAAAATTCTTATGACTCACCACATCATTACTTACATAATGTTTAGGATACTCAGTAACTCAGTCAGCTTCATTACTCATAAATAATGCAGCCATCTTAGACTTTTGCCAGTAGAATCTTTATACTGCACACATATATAATATGCAGCAGATGCAGAATACAGAAAAGCTTATGTATGCGACTATTATTTATTTATAATATACATAACGTACTCCTCCACATACAGAATAGCTTTTCACTTTCATATCTCATTCTTAAAAAAAAAATGCTACCATTATCTTTTCATCCACATTTCAGAAATGAAAGAACTTAAATCTTGTCCAACGCATTAGTTTTGTTTTGGCAGAGAGGATGTAAGTACCTCACATATCTAGATCCTGTCAGTCGCTGTGAATATTTCAGTACAGCATTTCCCACTGCTCTGGATCTTGTTTCCAAAGTATCTGAACAGTGCAAACGACTCCGGTGGTTTCTTGTCAGCACACATTAACACCCTTCTCCCCTTTGCTTATAACAAAAGTTGGCCTCCCTCCCCCGCAAGTGTTTGCACTGAGGTCCATTGTTCTACAAGTGTTATTGATGTTTCTGTACAGGTTTACCCTTAGCAAGGCTGATCATCTGCATACTGCAGTGCTCTAAGTAGTTGCCTATTGATTTCACTTCTTTAGAACCATCAAATGCTTCTTCCAATATTACTCTTAGGTATACAATTCAGGTACTGGAGATAATGGCCAGACTTGTTTGAAACCCTAAAGAGGTTCAAAACTAGTTACCTTTCCATTAACAGCCATTGAACTTTCTCATGCTTCATGAAGAATATAAACAAAGTTCAGTGTCTTCGGTAAAATCTCTTTGTACTGGGGGAGTGGAGGAAAGGGGGAAGAGAGAGAGTGAGCATGCAAGAGTGAAAGCAAGCAAAACAACATTTGTGAACTAAAATTCTGTTGATATTTGTGACATGCCTCAACTTCAACCTGGATGCACCTTTGAGACATGCTTGTGAGCTGTTTCTACAACTTTGGGGTGCCCTGCCCCAAACTTGTCTCTGCTGTCTGATGCTTAACCACTGAGAACCAGCTAAGATGTGCTAAAGTTCAACTCCTTGGCCTGAGGTGCCTCAGACCTACCTGTCTCAATCAAGTCTGGGGGCAGGGGGGAGGCTTGACAGCTAGAAAGATCATACAACCTTGTCTAGTCATGCTCTCAGAAAAGATGGATACCTCTTTCCATAGAATGGGCAAGCCTGTATCAGCAAATATTCTGGAATCACAAGTATCACTGATGACAAATAGTTTATAAATAGGTACCAAAAAGAACTTATTAAAAACAGAACAAGCATAATAAATCAATAACCATATGCTGAGATACAGACAGAGACATGACCGTAAATGAATAAAGGAAGAAAACTTTTTCTTATTCTGCATCTTAAATTCAAGAATGGAGTCTCCATCTAGTTCATTATCTGGGGGACTCCAGTTTGTCCCTATACTGAGGAAACCTGAAGACCCTATCCTGCTCTCAAAGCAGGCTAAAGTACTGTTTCCTATCTGGCTATTCACATACATCAACTATTGGTTCCTTGAGGGGAGCACATTATACATATGACTTTCTGCCCCACCCCAGAGTTGCTTGTCAACCAGTGCAGAAAACTTTTCTGAATCAATGAAGACCAGCAGAAAATGTGAATCCTTTTAAACATGGAGATTCACTAATCCAATATACTCTCTCTC